CTCCTTCTCAACGTTTGGTCGCAAAAAGTCCCGTTTAATGCTGGCTAGAGTCTATGCGAGACTGGAAACAGCATATTTTCTTTGTCCGCATGAAAGGTCTGCCATTTTCCCTGCTAACAATAGCTTCATGACGTCATGGCCGTCCAAATATATTGGGATATTCCGGACTGGTCAGTAAGTATCTGTCGACAGACTCAAGATGTAACAGATTTTAAACGCTAGTGAATGCCGTGAACGACAATTAAAGCATCTTCAGAGATGTATTTGACTACATTCCAGCCAGGATCTATCTTATTGATAATAAAATTACCTTTAAAAATCTCAATTTACAGAATAACCAAAGGATGACTATGCGTTCTACCGATTGGTTCTGAGTGATCTCGCAAGTTTAATGATATTCGTCTAATAAAGTTGAACGCAGCGGTTACCCCCATTTTAAAACCTTGACTGCGAGAAATCTATTGTAGATAGTAATTCAGTTTATGTCACACATCGAATTAACAAACAGACTTATTGAGTACCTTCATACATTCTTTATTCCTTTTCGCTTTGGTGGCATCGCACAGGTCGTGTCAGGAAAGCACCCCGACGTCCATCACTTCTCCCTAGGTTTTCCAGCTAAACCCTAATTGGCATCGCGATGTATTTATCATTCATCTCAGCACCGATTTTGCTAGAAAATGTCCAAAAATAAAGGATAAACCGGGGAAATCATTCTGTAAAACCCGGCCATCCGTAGATTAAAGCTTCTGGAAAACTTGATACTAAAGAGTAAAAACTCTTTGCAGAAACCTAGGAGTTTGCGGGGGGGAAAAACAACTCACATCCCGAAAACGGCGAAGAAAACAATTTGATTGGTAACATCGCTATCACGTACATAAAGAGCAAATATACTGAAACCCGAATTATGAATCAGTTCCACCTCTAGTACAGACTACTGTTTATTTCATTTGACGGAGGCGAGTCTTGTGAGTACCTTACGTGACTAATCAAACGAAGGTCACAGATGACATCTCACTGATTATTATTGCAACAGAAATTTAATATGGCGGCGTTATGGACGCTTGGGTGAATCTGTTTGTTGGCGGCGGCAAATACGACTCTTTAACGACTGTGGTAGCGGCATTTGAGGCATACTGGGAGTTTACAATGCGTTAACATGATGGTGGAAAAGTTTCTTTCGTTAAGTTTCTTTTATGTGATAGTGATTCAGATATTTCCGCACACAGGTACGTCAGGGAAAGTTTGCCACATTTGTGGCTTATTTAAACTGATTTACGATTCAGCAAATCGCATAGGTTTATAAGTGCGAGACAATGTCTTAACAACTGACCGAATCGAGGCAGTGAATGGTATCATAAACGTTTCAATGATAGATGATTGTTTCAAACAAAACAGACTGACGTGACAATCAACTACTTGGATATATAAAAAGTTAAACCAAAATGCCCCGTTGAACTAATTATAATGTTGAATGTAAAGCTGCGTGTACCTAGGTGTCTTCTCTGCCAAACAGGCCAGCAATCTTAGTTTAAAGTTTATATGGCAGATACCTTTTTTTATTTAATTGATGGAATGTAAATGAGTTCATGATGAAAAAATCGAAAAAAAAAA